ATTTTTTTTGCTGTAGACTGAAGACATTTGGGTTTGAGATCAAAAGGTGAATATGAGAAGAGAGCATAGAATTTCAGCTTTTATTTCCTGGCATTTATATGTAGATGTAAAGAAGGCTGAAAGAGGCTGAAAGAGGCTGCGGTAAAAGCCTGGAAAAGCATCACAAAAGAAGAAACCAACAGTTTGGTGATGTCAGTGACTCGTAGGCTTGATGTAGTTATTGCAAGCAAGGGATATGCAACCAAGTATTGTCTTATTTACTTTGACTTACTTCAAAACCTATCTGTTCCTATACTTTTGCTCACCTAAAAATTGGGTTGTCTGATACAAAAGGTTCTATGATTTAACACATCTAGATTTAGAAACAAAAGCTGAAATCCTAAACTCTTAAATTCTGTCTCATATCCATTTTTTTGATCTCAAACCCAAATGTTTTGGTGTATAGCACTTACAAATGAATTGGCCTTATACACGCATTTCATCACCATCTTTCATCACCATCAATCTCAAAGCGCCATTCACTGCCTGTTTAAAGAAACACTGTGCGGTTGAAACATGGTATTCCTCCTTACATTTTAATCTTATAGACAAGAACAGAGTAAAGCTCTATAAAAGCAGTGCAAATCATGTGCAACTATTAGCAATATAAGGTCTATAAACCCTATAAAAGTACAGAAATAAAAGCAGGAAACTGCACCACACCTCTGTCCAGTGTTTATATAAAGCTTTAGGCTTTTGTCTGGATTAAAAAAACAACAACAAAAAACAGCAATTCACCTTCAAGAATTCTTTTATTAGATATTGCGTATATCAGACATTTATGTCTTATTGGCCTTTACACACAGTGCAGTGTTAAATGTTACACAGGACTAAATTGTTGCTAATGTTTTCTGGGCCGTCAGGAGACACTTGTGTAGGTCACAGAGGTCAAATCAGACAGCTGCAGGTCCACTTCCTGCAGAGAGAAACACCTGATAATGTGAAATTTTTAGTCTGCTTTAATAGTGACATGATCTCAGCACTGCCTTCTATCAACTACATTTGCTCGTTTTTCTGGTACCTTCTCATTTGAGTCCCCAGTGAAAGAACACTTACCTGAAAAATAAGAGAATTCAACATAGACAAAGACAACAATCTCAGAAATATCGAACACTACACAGCTTTTCACAATAACTAATGTTTTCATTACACACATTCATTCTGCACTAGTGTACGAGGGCTGCTGCGT